AAAACAAATAAAAAAAAGAGGGTTGGATCCGCCGCAGTCACACCTTCCAGCAAATAGAGGAGTAAAAGAAAAAAATGAACTGCAGAGCAAGAAACACCACCACCGCCCTCCACGCTATCCCTCACTGCGGCGGCAACGTTACCAGGACAGCAAAGAGGGAATCCAATAACTTCAATGGCACACATGCGCACGCACAGCAAGCCACAAAGAAGGCGGCGTCACGATGACCCCAAAAACAAAGACCCAAGCACGGAAGCTGTTGGCCCACTCGTGTCGCACAGCGGTAGCGGCAACCCTGCGTGGTGCACCGTGAACGGTGTGGGAGGGGGCTGACTCCCACTCGGAAGGGTGCGACACGCAGCCACAGAGAGCTGCGGACGGTACAACACGCGGAGCTCCCGTACCAACCGCATCACCTCCGCGTCGCGGCTCACGTGGGCCTCGGGATTTGTGAGAGGCACCTCACCACACACAGCGCACACCACCTCCTCTCCGAGGACCGACGATGACGACAACGTCGGGGCACACACAGCGCACACCACCGCCCCGCAGCATGACGTCGTCATCGTTCGCCACGGCAAGTTCCCACACACGCTGCAGACAAACGACTCCACACGCTCGTTCACGCGGATCGTTCCCAACAGAAGCAGCTCGTTCACCACCGCAAAGTCCCTCTGCGTCGTCGATGCAACCGAAGTGAAGTACGTTTCTGCGCGTGTAAACTTCCGTAGGGCAGGGACGCTGCGTCCTGCGAGTCTAGCTGCCTTCGACCCTGACACCTCACGAATGTCGCTCCCACTCCGTGTCTCCGGGCGTCGTGCAGAAGGCCTTGTGGCGTCGTCTCTCTCCTTGTGGGTAGGCCTCACACCGGACAGTAAGGCCACAGAGATGAGAGACTCCCGGTGTGCGGTGAATGCCAGCAAGCATTCTGACCCAGCGAGATCTTCCACTGCAAAACGCTGTTGCCCCACACTCGTCGGTGCGTAAAGGCAAAGAGCTCCCGGCGAGCCACTGTGCGGAGCATGCAAGAGGGCAACGTCCAACGCCTTGAGGTTTGGAGGGGCTTGGCTTCTCGTAGCACAGGCGTCCAATACCTCTTGGCATAACGTGACCAGGGCGCTGCCTGGGAGCAAGAAGCGGCCACCGCCTTCCTCGCCGAGGTCGCTGTCCCTCACTGCACGTGCCAGGAGTTGGGAGCGAGAAATCGCACAGGGAACCACCGGCCAGGCGCCATCTACCACGACGAACTGCATGATTTACCCTCGCAAGCAACAAATAGGGGGATAAGCAACGAGAAAAGGGAGAGGGGTTCACCAACGACGCAACCAAAATGTGTGCGCCACCCAAAGCTCACGTACAGTGAGAGAAAGAAAAAAGAGCAACAAAGGGAAAGAAGAAGCAAACCCCAAGCTTCGGCATAGGAAACACAAAGACCCCATGCTCGTAATGCACTACGGCGTCTCATCCCTCTGTATCACTGACAGGCGCTGCTGGGTCCGTTGAATGAGAGAACCTGGCGGAGAAAAACGCCGCGGAACACTGGACCCCTCCTCAGGCGGTGACGCCGCTGGCCTCCCCGACGATGGTGTGGGAGCTTCACCGGATGCCGCGGCGGCAAGTTCCTTCTGGATGTACAGAAACTCGGCCACAAACTCCTGCGGAAGATGCAGCGCACCTGAGGCATGTGCTTGCAGGACGCGGCCAATTTTACGAAGCCCCACAGACAACGCTGTCGCACCGCTCCTCCGAGGAGGTGAACTGCGGGACACCAAGGAAACCTCCCGCTCCAGTTCGACGACGCGCCGATGCAGATGCCGAATGAGACGGCGCTGGGTGAGCACGTGGCTCATCAACTCCTCTCGCGTGGCA